CTCTTTAAACCCAAAGGCAGAGCTCACAAACGGCAAAGAAGCCTATGGTTCCTGGGCTGTCCTCAGATCCAGGAACAAAAAGTGACCAACTTTGGGTCAAAATGGACACCCGCCGTAACTCCTAGAAAGCTACAACGCAAAGGGGATGGGGACCACCAAGGTTACTCTCTGAAGCCAAAGGTCAGCGGACGCCAACTGGACACATGGCATATGATGGCTGCAGTCCGGTTTTTGAGGGTCTTCCCTTCTCGCGCGGTGTCTTTCAAGGGAAGCCACGAGGAAAAAACACCGCGGCCTTTTTTAAAACTCGCCATTTTTCTCCCGGGTAGTGATCAAAAATTCCCGTCGAACCGATCGCAACTCGAAGGGTTCTTCCCGGTAGGTGCTGAGAAGAAATTGCCCCCTGGGCTTGGTGGAAGCGTTGCACCCTCGAGATTCTAGCATCTTCTCTTTTTCTTTGGTTCTCTTTTTCATTGGTTTTCATTGGTTGCACATTATACGCATCTTCTCTTTTTCGTTGGTTCTATGTCCGGAGTCTTGTGCCATTCTAAGTAGTCTTCTTGCGTTCACGGAAGGACAGGTGGTTTCTATTTGTGCAGAGGGATGTAGCAACTAAACCTGCCCATCTACTCAGCAACATTTTTATTTGTATTTTTTACCAGGAGATTTGCATGGGACCCTGCCCCGAAGTAAAATGTACCGATGCTTTTGATGTCAGTTGCTCATTCTCAACATGGAGCACCTTTCATCTGGGAGGGAAAACCAAGCGGACATGGTGCCCGTTGTTGAGGGCCCCTCTTCTTTTCTCGTTTTAAAGGGAAACCAAAAAAGGAACTCTGGGAGTTCACACCCAAAAGGGAAACCAAATCCAAAGGGAAACCACGAGAAAAGGAAACCAAAAGGGAAACCAAAAGGGAAACCAAAAACTTGACCCTCCCAAATCCACCGTCCCCCTAAGTCCCTGGCTCTCCCTGTAGACACACCAAGCCCAAACCGCCCAGCAGCAGACTGCGTGTAAGGCCTCATTCGAATCGATTGCTGGGAAGCGATCAAAATGAAATCCCTATCCAACAGGGAGTGACATTCTTACTTCAAATGGGTAAACCACTCGTTTTCTGCCGAGAGCACAAAGGTTCTCATCCCACAAGAGGGATTCCGGGATGGCCATATGTGGTTGTTGTTGATCGAGACCCATTTCCGCTTGGTCAAACTGGATTTGCAAATAGGTCCTCCAGTAGAGAGGTTAGAAGAAGGGTACCCTTTTTTCTGTTGTCTATTCTAGTGGGACCAGGGTAAAAGGGCAATTCTGGGGGACCTATTCAAAGGAAAACCAACATTTTGGGTCCGATCTCAGGCCTTTTCACAGTTCTTGAGCCTTTGCCACAGAAAAGGGAAGTTCAAAGAATCACCAGCAGCGGCACAAAACTGGGCTGCCCGTTTTCTGATCCCCGCTAAAAGTTTAACTTTTAGTGGGCTAAATGGAAACTACCACTAAACACAAAAAGGCTTAAAAGGCAAGGGGATGGCTGGGAGCCACCAAGAAAAGACATGTCCAGAAAGCCAGGCCCCCCCCCCCCCAACGAAAAACCGGCTTAGGCCTTCCTTTTGGTTTCCCTTCAAAACTGAACCAAAACGGGGGGGTTCGCCCCAACGGCGAGCCATGTAAACCCCCATTTTCATGGGCCGGTTTTCCTTTAAAAACAACCCAAAAACGGGGGCTTGCCCCCAAAACGACCCTCGCCATGAGTACTTCTCACTTCGTTTCTCCTTGAAGCCAACCAAAGGAACACTTCCCCCCCAAAAATGGACCCCATGGGTTCCGTGGCGTCCGCCAAAAAACCGACCCCAGCCCCATGGGTTTCACTTCCCAAGCTCCCCGGCCATACAAGAGGGAGGCTGAGAACTCCACGTCCATCAGCCCCAGGACCGCCAGCATCGGCATGGCCTCAGCTCGATGGATCGATGTGATGCGATTCATGTCCCACAGGGCCGCGGGGAATGACCACTTCTATGATACAACACAAACAGCTTCCCAAAGACGATATGGCCGTGGGCCAAAAATGCGGACCAAAAATGGCTAGAACCCTGGTCAATGGAACCAGAGACTAAAACCTGCGGTTTTCTGGTGGTTTTACTTTAACCCATACCCATATTGTTCATAGAACGGGGGATTCCCAAAAGTATCACAGAAGTTCGGATAACCCCCTTGATCCCACCACCCTGATATCTCACCAATCCATCACTCACCTTTTTCACCAGCCAAGAATCAGGAAAGAGCGATGGCATCTCCATAAGACCTCTCTATCCAACCAGCGGTTGGTTATTCATGGACTCACTTTCGGTGGCTCAAATGGACCACCCCCACCGAACCCCGAAAAGCTAAGGAGCCGGAGATCTGGGAACCACCGAGATGTGGGTGGCTCGCCCTTCTTCAATGGGCTTCCCTTTTTTGGGAATGTGTTTGAGAGAGAAACTGGAGTTGTTCCCCAGTACTCACTTCCTTTTGTGGATGGGCCGAAAGAAGGTCCAAACTTCTTCGTTTACTACATGCTCCGAACCCGAAACAAGACCAAATGAAGTCAAACAACTATCTGCACATCCCTTTCTACCCGAAACATATTCTCCTTCATCTGGTCAAAATCCCTGGGGATATGAAATAAGATGTGAATCAGTTCTTTGAGGAAGTGAGATTGACAAAGTTTCATTCCCATCTGCGTTTCTCTTGTTTTTTTTTTTTTTTAGAAGACCCCTAAACATGGGGAAGAAAGGTGGCGGTTTTGGCCGGGCTCCCTCCATTTCTCTTTCTTTGGGGGCCCAAAGTGGGAGGGCACCAGTAAACTGCAACTTTTGAAGGGGAACTCCAGCGACCGCTGCTTGAGCTTCTCTGCTGAGTGGACATACAACTTTCTGGGGCTGTTTCAAAGCAAGACCAAGGGCCGCGGATCGAGCCAGTCTCTTTCTTTCTTTTTGCTCCGCTTCTTTTTCTTACCCCTTAAAACTCCAAGCCCTGGGGAAGTTAATCTTTTACAGACATATAGCCCATGCTACCCAACAAGTTGAAAAGTTTTGTTTTTAAGAGGTAAGTTTTGTGTGTGTGTGTGTGTGTCTTTTCTTCCCCATAGGTTTCTGTGTGCTCATTTCACGTCATACGGACAATCCGCCAGATTGTCGACCGCCGCAAGCCACGAGCGCAGCGACTGTGTTCTGATCATAGGTGTCCTTTTTGGTTGAAAATCGATAGCCCTGGTAGATGATTGAATCACCAGGTAAACCAGGAACCGCCCTCGATTTTTCCGGCGACACAACCAAAAAAGGACACCTATGTTTAGGGGTTTTTCCCCCTCGAGTAACACGGTATACACTGGTCTGCCTTTTTGTTGAGGCTTGGTACCTTGGTTAAATCACCTCCTTTTTGGTTGAACATCGATGGCCCTGGTAGATGATGAAATTTTCAGGTAAACCAGGAATCTCCCTCGACTTTTCTAGCAAATCCACCAAAAAGCATCACCTAAGACTTCCTTGCCAAGGCCGCGGCACAGGCGCTGGCGGTGCCGGTGAACGTCGCGACTTCCTGCGGCGTCGGCGTCGGCGCTGCGAGCCGAGGAGCCGGCGGGGAGAGATTTGTGCCGAAGAGTTGCTGGTTGGTTTGCGGAAATGGGACCCACCAAAAACATGAAGTCAACCAACTAAAAAGGCGCCCTTGTTATGTCAGCTCAACAGGTGGCCTTTTTTAGGTTCCAGAATTTCCTCCAACCTTGGTTCATCCCTTTGCCGAAGGAATCGGTCTCCATTCAAGCATATCCCTTTCCAGACTGGCAAAGGAAGAATCGACAAGCCGAGAGACAAGCAAAGCCTCCGGCTCAAAGCCTCTGGCAAAGGGCGTTCAAGGGCCCTTAGGGTCACTTTGGGCCCGATGCTCCGCACTCCTTTCTTCGCTGCTGGATTCGAACATCCCCCGGTTCTACCCATTTGTTTTCAACACAATTGCAAAGACAAGTTGTGTCCAACCCACTATATCGCTCCGGTACGGGGTGTCCTCAACCATGGCCCAACGTTTGCCAATGGACTGTCGTTTTGGACCCCCAAAACAGGTTTCAGGGCTTCCATTCAAGGATTTGTTTTAGGAATGGCCCCCCCAACCACCAGACATGTCTTTAGGAATGTCTTTCCCAAACACACCAAAACAGCGGTACCAACTCCAAAAAAAGAAGAAACAAAAAGAACAAAAAAAACACAACGCCACCCAATTGGCTGCCCAAAAAGCATCCAACCGAAACGGGACCCCCAAAAAACCCACGGATCGCATCTCTTCTCATCTCCTCAGAGCTCATGGCTCGAAAAGCTACGATTCGCCCGCTTTGAAAGCTACCAATTCCCCCGCTGTCCCGAGGTGAAATTCGTCGGTCTGCATGGTCCATCGACTCGGCCGATGGTCAATCGACTCCGCTCTCTTTTTTGCTGGCAAGCTGCTGTCAAGCTGACGCCATTAAGAATCCTTTGAACCACTGCGCGAGAGCAGGCACTTCATCACCGAAGCTTCTGGCGAAGCAGAGTCATTGCCTCTCAAATTCAAGGGTTCCATGGGGAATTCGAACAGATTGGGCACGTGCCCACTTTGGTGGATGCAACTTGTGGTTATATTCCATGTTTGTCACCTGTTTCGGCAATGGAGCAACAGGAATACACGTCTCAGTGACTTGGCCGTTGGACTCGCTTTTTCATGTCCCCGCCTTTGGTTAATCCCCGCCGCCCACTTTGCCCCGAAATAGTGCCTAGTATTTGAGGGGGAATTTGACACAATCTGAGACCAATTTGCCATTGCCTCGGTAGTAAATGACAAAGGACCCCGTTTTTTGGACATCCTTTGGACACCTTTTCGGGGGGTGGGGCCAGTTTCCCATCCTGGCGGCCTCAATACATCCCACATGTTCGTTGCAGCAACCTGGGCTCAGGCAGGTGGTTTCCTTGTCCATTTTGCCACCGTGAAACACGAGCCCCACCTTCTCCGTCTGGTCGACACGCCCCGACATTGGCGTGGCGATGGAGGGACCTGAAGGCCGATCGAGGCGAGTGAGGCGACTGCTATCGGGTGCCAAGCGAAGGTTGACCCCGGATCTACAACTAGGTCCTCCAGTAGAGCGGTTAGAATAAGGGTACCCACTTTTTGTCGGTAGTCTATTGTAGTAGGGGAACCCTCCCAACAAAAAAAGGGAGAGAAGGGCACTACTGGGGGACCATAGCTTCTATTCACACTGTGGAGTTCAGATTCATCGCAAAAAGGCGCACCTGGTGTCTCGCTCGATCTGCGTACCTGACAAGAGTTGGAACACGGAAAGTGCTGCATGGGAACTGTTTGGGACTTCAAAGGGACTCGCAAAACCCTTGCCATACTGTGGATGACCCAAGTATTGCAGCGGGATGGATGAACTCCGAGAAAAAACACATGAGACAGCCCGGGAATGGTGGGATCAACATGGGTAAACCACGTACCAAGCGGTGCATGATTCTGTCCATCCACAGTAGCTCAAAAAAGAAGCCCTCCTCGGGCCGGTCGATTTCTCTGTCCGCGCAAGTCTGATTTTGGTAGTCGATGCAGTCTAGTCACAATCCCACTCCGATAAATTCTTCCGAAGACCCAATTAAACCGCAATTCTTGGGCCCCAGACCCTACTTCACCCGTTCAGGTGTACTATCTTAGGCGGGTGAAAGGAGGCTGTGGACTGCGTCAAAATCCTTCTTGGCGGATTCAACCGCGACCACTCTGCCTGCGGCTCGTCTTTGGCCACGGGTACTTCAGCTTTCCTGGCGCTCCTGTGTGTCGGGCGAACAAAAAATGGCTCCCCCAAAACTTCTCCCCTTGAATATCACCCCTATCATGCAAGAGGAATCTCTCCGGAAAATTGATCTAGCACGGGCTTGCCGGCTTGCCGACATGCAAACTTAGTGCTGCAGGACTAGGACACAAACTTCCATTTGGTTGAGACCCCTGGACAAAGACCTATTTCCAGTAGTCAGAAATTCCTTTTAAAACCAACAACGGAAACTACAAGACATATTCATTTCAGCAAATGGACCTAGACTCCAGAGCACTACAACGTTCAAGTCACCCGAAGAATTTGTTACTCAGATCCCAGGCCGTACCTCCACCTGGGCTTTCTCAGGCCCCCAGCAAGGCTGGTGGGAATAAAATCAACTCAATGGGTAGGGGTCAAAACGAAGCCAGCAGGGGCACCTCAGGTCTTGGTCCTTGTTTCCATTCACGAGGGCAACCCATTTTGGATATCGATTTTTGACCCATACCCATTTGGGCACCTGGGCGTGGACGCCGCGCCAGCGGAATTCGCCGAGCGCGGTGGGGACACCCTGAGTGCGTGGTTCGAGGCAAGCTCAGGTGTCAACACTTGTCAAAGTCCTAGGCTGGAGTTATGACCCCAGCAAAAACTCTCTTGTTTTTTTTGGCCTGGCTAGTGGCAAACAAAGGAAGCCCAAACAAGCAAAAACCAAAAGGGGAGCTAATTCTGGGGAAGAGTCAAGGCCTGTGAACATTTGGAGGGGTCTGATCCCTCTTGGCGGCTTCCCCTCAAGCCGCCAAGATGGTAATTCAACTGGGCGGCTCGTCTTTCTTGTGGAGTTGGTCCTTTTTCCCGAAAGCATTGCGAAGGGTTCTTCCGTGCGGAGCTCTTGGTCAACTTGCGCAGAGTAGCTTGCACAGAGTCACCAGCATGGAGATGTCAGGAGCTCTTGGTCAACTTGCGCCGAGTAGCTTGCACAGAGTCACGGCGATACCAGCATGGAGATATTCGCGCAGAGTTACTAGCACAGAGTAGCTTGCACAGAGTTACCAGCATGGAGATACTTGCAAAGAGTCATCACCAGCATAGAGAGTTACTTGCGCAGAGCCAAGTGCAAAGAGCCAAGCGCATAGAGCCAAGTGCTCAGAGCGAAGTGCAAAGAGCGAGGTGCAAGGAGACAGAGCTAAGTGCACAGAGCCAAGTGCAAAGAGCGAAGTGCATCGAGCCAGGTGCGTAGAGCCAAGTGCATAGAGCTAGGCGCATAGAGCTAAGCTAAGCAAGGTGTAGAGGCTCGGCGGTAGCAGCTGTGTAAGCTAGGTTAAGTAAGTTAGGTTAAGTACTTAACGCGCGGAAAAGAAAGAGAAAGAGCTCGGTATTAAGAATCTCTTTTAAGGCGGGGGGTGGGGATGTTGCCGACGATCGGGAATGCGACCCTCTGCGGGGATCGGCGTGGTCGAGGTGCAAACACTCGAGGTTTTTTTTGCGTGTTTCGCGGTGCCCGCGCGACCCTCTGCGGAGATCGGCTTGGTCGATGTGCAAAAACTCGTGTTTTTGTTGATGTGCCTTTGGCATTCGCGGATGAACCCTCTGCGGAGATCGTGCGTGTCGAAGCGCTCTCGCTGTGGCGCCGTGCGAATTCTTCTTAGTCTCGGCGAACCCTCTGCGGAGATCGTGCGTGTCGAAGCGCTCTCGCTGTGGCGCCGTTCGATTTTGTTGCTCGCGAAATGGCCTTTGGAAGTTGTCTCGGTTTGCGCGCCTGCTTTCGCAATCCCGCGGTCGCGGGTTCGATTCCCCCCCCTGGTCCGCGGCAGCTCCGGCTTGAAAATCGCAGCTTTTAAGTAAAAACGTAGTACGCGGAGCGTGCTCCTGCAGCTCCGGCTGGAAAATCGCAACTTTTAAGTACAGACGTAGTATGCGGAGCGTGCTCCCGCAGCTCCGGCTGGAAAATCGCAACTTTTAAGTACAAAAATAGTACGCGAAGTACATTCCCACAGCTCCGGCAGCACTTGCGCAGAGCAACTTGCGCAGAGCCACTTGCGCAGAGCAACTTGCGCAGAGCAACTTGCACAGAGCACTTGCACAAAGCACTTGCGCAGAGCAACTTGCACAGACCAACTTGCACAGAGCACATGCGCAAAGCGCTTGCACGGAGCAACTGGCGCAGAGCACTTGCGCAGAGCAACTTGCTCAGAGCACTTGCGCAGAGCAACTTGCGAGCACTTGCAGCAGCTTGCTTGCGCGCAGCAGCCTGGAACAATGCAGCTTGCGCAGACCACTTTCGTGAGAAATCGCGCGGCGCAGTTCGTGCAAAGCACATTGCGCGGAGCAGGCTCGTGCAGAGCCAACTTGCACAGAGCCAGTTGCGCAGAGCCACTCGCGAAAAGTAGCTTGCGTAGAGCCAACTTTCACAGAGCCAAGCTGCGCAGAGCCTATGCACAGAGCTAAGTTGCGCGAGCGTGCTTTGCATATCTGTGGCCGTCGTGTAAGCTTTGCTATTGGTTGCTTTTCCTTTTGCTTGTAATCTGTTTCGAGCTTTACGAGCTTTACTCTTCTTGTTTTAACGGATGTAAATATGTGGGATCGAGCACTGCCATGTTTCCTCTTGTAGGACGATGAGATGGAGCTCTCATGTGACCATACACATTGAGCATCGCCGCGTGCAGACACGCTCGCCGCAGCGATGTAAAAAGGTGTCTCCGCGGCTGGATGAGCACCTGGGGAAAAATGCTTTCGGGCCAATCGTCCTCTAGTTTTGTGTGTGCTTCAAACTGGAAACCAACTGGAAAACCGGGTTGTTCCCCCCACACCCAAGACACCCAGTTGGAGAATAACATAATTGACCCAGGCCCAACTCCGAAGCTCTTGCCATTTTGTGCAAAGAATCTAAAGGAACCTTCCAGCAGGCGGAGGCCTGGAAAATATATTTTTTTGGATAAACTTAAAGGGTTAGGAACATAGGTGTCCTTTTGGGAAAGTATTGCACCACTAGGTAAACCAGGGCCGCCTTCTAGTTAAACAACCAAAAAGGACACCTATGGTTAAAGGAAGCGAGTACTTTGGAAGCCAACTTAAATATTGCGTGGGAAGGGGAACCCTGGAACTCTTGCTGTGTGATTTACGTGCAATACTTTTTCGGGCATACCTGATTTCCAGGTGCTTTTGGGCAGAGGCACGGGTAAGCATTCTCCATCCGAGCCCCGCTCTGGTTGGCTGACGGCCTGCCACAAGAGACCCGAAAAATCGCCCAGATCGGACCCAACATTGCGCAAGGAAAAGTTGGCCCGATATTTCCTCATGGTCTCCTTGCCTTTTCAAGTCATCCAAGGGGCTCCCCACGTATAAATCTACTGGGGCCTGAGTGATCAGAATGGGGCTGTGAGGTACTTTCAATCCACATTTAGATTTCTTTCCAGGAGTAAACTATCAGCCTAATATGAACTGGGGGACCCTCGTTTCATGAGGCTGACACTACTACTCCTTCTTCCGCTAACAATAACGCGGCGCGAGAGACCTCTAAGACGAACACTTCAGGGCCCCTTCCGACGCTTCCTGTGCGATCCGCAAATGAACCGCCTCCGGACCCTGTATAGAACGGGCGACCTCTTCCCATGGAAAAGGATCTGAACGAGGCTTACGTTCCATGCTCAGAGTAAGGCTAGAAGGTTCGAGCTTCAGGGCTCCCTACATTTTTCCTGAAAGATCACCCAAGGATTTCTTTCTCGCTTCTTGGCAATCAAACTCGGGCCAGGCTTTGACCCCCTGCAAACACTTATTGTTGTTTGCCGGTCCCAAGGGAAACTGAAGGAAACCCCAAAGGGCAACACGTTGAAAAGATATACACGTTCAGCCTGGCAACTAACCTGGCGATTCGCACCGGGCTTGCAGACATTCCCCAGGTTGGATGTTCGCTTCAATCTCTTGACACCTGTCGGTGTTGTTGGGGGCTGGGTACCCGATGTTGGGCGCTTGAAGCGAAGCCGAAATCCGAAAGGACGTCCGCCGAGTTTCGGAAGACCGCGACACATACCCGCAACACTCTCTCATGCAACCGCCCGCAATGCATGCTTTCATTTGCTTAAGCCCCCTGGAAAAATAAAATATGTCCAGTAGTGATCACAGTGGGTACCAGTCGACACACCAGGCCCAAAGGTGCGAACTTGCAATTGGGCCACTCCAGCCCGAAAACAATGGGGATGGGATATAAGAGCCTAGGTCCTCCAGTAGGGAGGTTAGAATAAGGCTACCATTTTTTCTGTAGTCTATTTTAGTAGCGGAACCCAACCCCCGAAAAAGAAACGGCCAAAGGGCACCTAGCTGGGGGACCTAGATGTGGCACGCCGAGGTTCCTGAAACAAGCCGGTAGCTCGGCAATTTTTGCGCAGAGCCCGGATGCCCGTTGAGGTACTCCTGAGCAAACGCACTGGAGGGAACCTGGCTACTTATATGGGCAACACTGCATGAACCAAACCACTGAATTCAAATGACAGAAGCTTGACCCTGCCTTTTGGAAAGATCGAAGGGTTTCCCTGGTAAATGGTTGGCATAAAGCCAATGGGTTCCACCAATTTCTAACCAATCTAAGCTAAAATGGACACCTGCTGTCGAAATCCGCTTCGCACGAAATGAAACGAAACCACAACGTTTGCCACGGTAATTACGTTGGGGGACCGACCATCATTCGGTTGGGCTTCTGAACGGGCTGCGCCGCGCGGATTTCGCGACCATCCACAGTATGGTCCTGGGTGGTAGGCTTGCCTTCAAGAGGCAGGTCCACGGCAAATGCAATTTCGCGACTCACGGAGTTGCAGTCCTCGTTGCCTTCCAAGCCATCCAATGCGCCTTCCATGTTGCCCGTCACAACAACTCTGGCCAAATGACTAGGGTGTCCTTTGCAGAATATCACAGGGTTTGCTCGTCCCCTTACTTGCCATACTCACACTGCATCCACCGTCCGGGTGTGACTTTTTGGTTAGGGTGCCCCTTTTCTGCCTGGTTTTCAAAGGGGAACCCACAGGACCTTTTTTTTCGGGGGGTCCCTTGAAAAATACAGACCTCGGCAGCCCTTCAGGACCTTCATTCCGCAGCTCTAAAGCAGCCCGGGCGCTCAGTGCTCGGCCGCCCGCTTCCGATGCTGGATCCTGCGTCCCGACGCGTGAAAAGCCGAGGAGCTACCCCAAGCTACGTCAACGCGGGTGGTGTTTGCATGCCGCATATCATTCACTAAAATTTGTGTGTGTGTGTGTGTGTGTGTGTGTGTGTGTGTGTGTGTGTGTGTGTGTGTGTGTGTGTGTGTGTGTGTGTGTGTGTGTGTGTGTGTGTGTGTGTGTGTGTGTGTGTGTGTGTGTGTGTGTGTGTGTGTGTGTCTGTGTGTGTGTCTGTGTCTGTGTCTGTGTCTGTGTCTGTGTCTGTGTCTGTGTCTGTGTCTGTGTCTGTGTCTGTGTCTGTGTCTGTGTCTGTGTCTGTGTCTGTGTCTGTGTCTGTGTCTGTGTCTGTGTGTGTGTGTGTGTGTCTGTGTCTGTGTGTGTGTCTGCCTGTGTCTGCCTGTGTCTGCCGGTGTCTGTCTGTGTCTGTGTCTGTCTGTGTGTGTGTGTGCGTTTGATTCTGTTTTTAAGCTACCCCATGTTGGGGCAGTTATAAATGAACACAAAAAGGACACCGTTGATCCTCCCGGGGGGGGGTCCCTTAATTCAACACCCACCAACCCAGCCAATGTGGCCTTGTGCGACTCCTGACTTTGTCACCAGCTTGTTTCGCCAAATTGGGGCCCCCTTGGCCGGAGACAAATCGAGAAAGGCAGGACCTGGGAAAGTTGACTCGAGGCCAGCGTGTTTTTTCCGAGTCTTCCAAAACCATTGACTCAACTATTTTTATCCCCTAATTTGGTGGTTTGGATGGGTCGTTTGGGGGTTTGAGCCTTTGGTTCTTGTAGAGGGCAAATGGGAAACCCGCCACCAAACAAACCCGATTCGGCTCCAAGCCGCCAGTTGGAGGGAATTCCGATTCACCGGAGGGTATGCCGCCAGTTGGACGCATTTCCGCCGTTTTTCGCCAGGGACAAGTTTTGTCTTTTGGTTTTGTCGGGGTGTGGATATTCCCAGTTCAAGATATCAATGACTCTACCGATGGACGAAATGCTGCACTTCGAAGCCATGGTTGAATTCACTGTTGGTCTTTACCCTTGGTGAATCGGTCATCCCCTCATAAAACCTTTCCAAGAGGTTTGACGTCCTTTGATTCGCTGGGCTGTCTTTTAGAACGTCCAACCTACAAAACTGTGAGACGGGTGGCGATTTTCTTTTAGCTCGTCGCCCTTTCTGGTTGCCTGTTTGCAGGGAAGCCAAATGAAACCGACATGGGTATGAATTTTAAGCAGGCACCCTTTGGAGGACACCATGTAGGCGCGGATTTACGCCCACCACCCACTTTTCAGGGAAAGTCCGACTGTTAACATTCATTTAGGTGCGGATTTATGTCCACCACTAAAATTCCATGGCCACATCCGTCGGCTGCCAAAGACCCAAAGACCCAAAGCGCATTGAGTCGTCCGGGTCCTCTAGGCCCGCCTCACTGGCAGCGGCCAGCGGGTAAAGCCTCAGGCAACTGCCGCAACTGCCGTCCGCGTCACTGGGGTCAATGGAAAGGGTGCTGGTTCACAGGGAGCCAGGATCCATGTGCTGGTCACACAGACAGATGGTGTTCACACCATGGTGCGCCCCCCAGAAGCAAGTTGCAACATGCCACCGCACCTTTGCCCAAGGCTGCTTTGGAATATGAATGGGTTCAAGATCCAGCTCCCTCCTCGCTATTCCTGTTTCGGACAACTCATTTTGCAAGAAGAACAGGGCTTCAGAGGCGTGTCCGCCCTTTTTGGCATGGAGGAGCTCGAATGGCCGCAAATCCGCGAATCCGTGAGGCGCATTTTCGCCGCAACGGGCCCCCGAGCTGCAGCAAGGCGGGAAATCGGTTCAGAGTCTGGCGCGAAGCCGCTTCACCAACAAAAAGGGGCAGGCAATTTTGTGGACACCACTAGGACTGGGGGCCCAGTTCTTCCGACCACACCTGAGCTGGAAAAAAAAAAAACGTATTAAAACTCTTATCCCAGGATGTTTTCATTGCAAATCCAAGCGGCGGTCTTCATAAGAGTGAGGTCCCCCAAAAACATGCCCCTTAAGTGTATGAGGTCTCAGGTGTGTACACCGCTGCAAATTGTTGCTGGCTGCTGCTGCTGGCTGCTGCTGCTGCTGGCTGCTGCTGGCTGCTGCTGCTGCGGCTGCTGCTGCTGGCTGCTGGCTGCTGCTGCTGCGGCTGCTGCTGCTGGCTGCTGCTGCTGCTGCTGCTGCTGGCTGCTGCTGCAACTCATTGCTGGGATCTGCAGAAACAAAGAAAATGCAAACTACAGAAATGGGCCACTCCTGATCCAAGGCATCTACGACTTGCGCGCGACTTGCGCGCGACTTGCGCGAACATTTAGCAATCTTCATTCCGCCTTTTTTACAAACGGGGTGTGAGTTTTGTTGGGTCTAAGAGGACACTTTGGACATCATTCATGAGCTTACCACGACCAGCCACTCAGGTGGTTCCCTATTTAAGTTCATACATAGCCATGTCATACCTTTTCAAGGGGACAGGGAACCGGGTTTGGTGGGAGGGCCGTCCGGCCAAGACTCATGAGAAATTAATTGAAACCTGCACCTTAGCCAAAGGAACACATTTGTGGACAACGAAAATGACATCTGGCCTCAAACAACCAAACACCATCCGGCCTCAAACAACCAAACACCAACAACAATCACATCGGACACTTCTCCAAGAAGCGCTGCCTCTAAATCGCAAAAACCTTCTGGCGTGGAAAAACCGCGTTTACTCTTGAGGGCGGTTTTCCTCATGCACCGTCGCCAACCGGATTCATGAGCCTGGCGGATGGGGGGGATCCCTCTGATCCCCTGTAAACTGAGTATTCAACAAGAGAGTTCTCAATCCTGCGCCTTTGAGTGCCCCGCAAGCTTCCGTCAAAAAGCGAGTGCGCCAAACAAATATTGATAATTCTTGTTTTATGATCATGATTTGAGCAATGCGAGGTTTTCCCATGGGCCGAGAAGTTCTTGAAGCAAACGATCCCTTCGACAAAAAACACATTCCGAGGATTCGCAGTCAACACTGACCGGCTCATGTGTGGCAGCCCACGGCCTCTCTCCAGGAGTAGCCTGGATAGTTTCGGGCCTAGCGGGGAAGCAGCACTTCAAAAAAGCCAATGGCAAAAACAGCACCCGCCCTTGATGCTTTTTCATGCGCCCCGCTGTAAAAAGTGCTGGGCCCCAATTTGTCCCATGGTCTTCTCCGAACATCTCACCGCACGCCGTGCACATGGATCAACCAAGGCGGCACTTGTCAACCCACACCACGCGAATTCGTCACCACTTTCTCTCGAAAACGACGGACGCTTTCGTGGCCCGACTTGCGCCTCGTCTCCCTCGGCCTTGGAGTCTCAACTTGCAACGCCAGTGCGCCGATTTTTCTCCGCCGGGGATTGATGTTGTTGAGCTCTGTGGGCACCCCCTCTGCTGATGGCTTTACAATATCGTCCAAAAGCGTATGCCCCTAAGTCATACCCCGTGGTGATCCCTGGATTCAAAAGCGCTTTGCTTGGGGTAGACGCCCGTTCTGTGAGAGGGGTAAGAACGTGAGCAAACGTTTCGAGGGTCATTGACTTGTGCGTGAACAAGGGAACCGCAAACATCCTTGACACGAGGAAGGCCAACAAACGCAAAGACAAAGACAAAGAACGTCCTCAAAGTGATGCGTTTTGCCAACCTCTGACAATCGCGATTCGGCAGGAGGCTGCTAGATGGGTCATAAAGTTCCCGCTAGGCTCTCTAAGCCAGGCGAACTGCGGCGTTGCCCGACAAAAGGCCCGGAAAAATGACAAGTCCTAAGCCAATAAGAAAACTGCGAGAACAAACAAAACACGAAAAGCAACAAGCAAGGGACCCCCCACAAAGCACCACGAGGCAAACCGAGAATCGAAGCCACGGTCCGACACCAGCCTCAAACACCAAAGAGGGAAACCAAAAACGGAAGTAACGAAGGGGGAACCAAGCAGCAAACCGCTCCTAGGGAAACCTCCCCAAATAAATGCCAGCGAACCAAGAAGGGGAACCCTTTAAGGAGGAGCAAACATGAGCAAAAAAAAAGGAAATCCCCAGAAGGGGAACCGAGGAGTGAAAGCCAACAATCTCAAAGAAAGGAACCAAAAAGGAATAGGAGGGGAAGCCCAGCATGGAAACTCCGAGAAGAGGAATTCCCACAAGGCGGAAGCAACAAGGAGGATCTCAAAAACACGCCGCCAGTTTCAGGCGGGGTTTCGGGGTAGCCATGGCTTCGTGCGGTCAAAAAGGTGCGCGTGGGGGGAAACAAAGGGCCCCCTATCGACTCCGGCTATCGCTCAGGCAGTTGCCTGGTTGGGGTCGCCTTCGGACTCCTGGCCATGGGAGATCTGCACTTGAGCAAGCGATGTGTGTGCTTTTTTGGCTTGCTGGGCCGTGGGTATTCAGATCCGCGGGTAAAAGTGACGAAAGCTGTTGTGGCTGAAAACGGGAACACCCGACCACCTTTCACCAAGCTTCAACGCTGAATAGCTGAGGAACCGGATGGCTGGGAACCACCAAGGTTTCTTTCTTTTGAGGTCTCTTGGGTCTCGTTTCGGTGGGTTTTGCTGGAAACCCACCAGGATCCCCCCCCCCCCCCGCTTTGCAAGGTCCCCCGCTCGGCAAAACGGGATCCGCTCGAATTTTTTTCGTGGGGCTTCCGCAAAGGCCGTGAGCTACGAGAAAGTCGACTCGGGTCCTTGTGGACTTGGCCGCGGACGATATCCAGCTCTACTTGGTGTCTTTGAGGTACCCCCCCTTTGGTGGCTTTAACGGGCCGCCACAAGGAAAAGAATCCCCATTTCGGGGGGTCAAACCAGTCAAACCCTACCCTCCCACCAACTAACATGGAAGTGCAACAGTTTGCCCTTCCAAGAGGAAAGTCGTCTTTCTACAGGGTCTTTGCATGTTAACTGGTGGGAGCCTAAAAGAGACGAGCCACCAAGAGACGCTTCCGTTGATTCTGTCCTCGTCCAAAAGATTGGCGCGGCCACCCAGCTCCGGGGCCTCAGACACCGCAGGTGGATCCGGCGCACTGCTTGCGCTCCCTTTCCTGTTGGGTGAGGGCCGTTGGGGAAACCAAAAGCAAACCAAAAGCAAACCATCTTAAAACAAGGCCCAGTCCCATTTCACAGCGGGGTTCCGTATTTGAGAAAACGTGGCGCTAGATGCAGACACCCTCTTTTGGAAACGACTACTATATCGGGGTCTTCCTCCAAAAGTGAGAGTCCCCCCACTCAACTGGGGGCCCCCAGCTCTCAAAATCCACCAGGGGTTCTACTTGGATCCGTCAACATGGTGGCTTTCCGTGAACCTGGAAAACCTAAAATTTGGGAGTCCCTAGGAAGCGGACCAACATGGTCTGAGGGATTCCCCCAAAATTGGAGAAACCTCCCCGAAACTCGGTCAGACATCCCCCATGTCCTTGGGTGTTTCTCCAAAGAGAGATCGGTGCAGTTTCCTCTTTTACGTTTTCCTATTGGCGTCCCTTTAACCAAAAGGTCCGAATCCAATTTTGAGAGTGTCTGGATGGGTTCCGCCCCGGGCTTCCTGCGGCAAGACATGGACGGCTTCTCTTAGCCACCAAATAAGGGGGTAGATACGCACATGTATATATACATATATATATATACACACACACACACGTATGCATGGAACTAAAAGTATACAACATACTGTGGATGAACGAAATCATGCACCGCTTTCAAAACCATGGTTGAAACCCATGGATTGTTGGTATTTGCCGAGGAATCGATCATCCTTCCAGGGTTTCCATTTGGTGCGAAACGGTTTCGTAGCCATCCACAGTATCAAGTTTCACTTGGGGGTGGACATTTTCTCAGACTGTCGGAACTAAAGCTTGGCACGCTGTGACGCGAGCAAGGCCCGCAAGGCCCTGGCCGAGACTCCCATCCGCCATCCTGGCTGGGGCGAAAGCCAAGAGCCATCTCGGAAACACAACATCTGCAAGGTTTAGAATACTTCCAAAACCTGAAAATAAGGGATGGCCAAGTAAAGGATCTGTGACATGGCTCGTGTTATCCCCAGGTGAGCTCGCACATGACGCAGACAGCATCTCTTAGACCAGCATAAACTTTTGTTTGGGCGACGGGGTGGGCATCATTGAGCTGGGGACTCCTGTCCGGTTCAACCACTTTGATGGCCAAAGGGGAACTGTAGAGCAATGATCAATCCGATTCGTCTCCAGACGAAATGAGCTCCGTTTTGCTTTACATCTTTGGCTTTACGGCTTTTGATTGTACTGGACTGCAGGAAAATCCTGGTTCCCTCCGCCTCAACAGCTATGTCCAAGTTGGCTTTGTTGTACGGCTACATTCCACGGGCTACGATGTATATGCATGTATATCTATATGTAAATATATATATATATATGTATGTATATATACATATCATGACAAATACATATGTATATCTATATAACAGATTCACCAATAATCACCAATATATAGTATACACCTACGCGCACACACACTCTATCCCGATTGCCAGCAAATCAACCAGATAGCCTGGTCGGGCCAAATGTTGTTGATTGACAAACCCACG